AGCAACGCGTCAGGTGATTGATCGGTTGGTGGTGGCACTAGGAGATCAGGATGACCACCTTCGACGGAGTGTATGTAGTGCTCTTGGAGCCATGGGCGAAAAAGCAGCAACGAGCCAGGTGATTGATCGGTTGTTGGTGACTCTAGATGATCACGATTTTGCGGTTCGCTTGAGTGCATTTAATGCTCTTGAAGCGATCGGCGAAAAAGCTGCAACGAGGCAGGTGATTGATCGCTTGGTGGTGGCACTACGTGATCAGAATGAGTGGGTCCGAAGGAATGCATGTAGTGCTCTTGGATCGATGGGCGAAAAAGCATCAAGGAGCCTGGTAATTGATCGGTTGCTCGTGACACTATGTTATCAGAATGAGTGGGTCCGAAGGAATGCATGTAGTGCTCTTGGAACCATGGGCGAAAAAGCATCAAGGAGCCTGGTAATTGATCGGTTGCTCGTGAAACTTGGTAATCTCGTTGAAGGTATTCGAAGTACCGAGCTGAAGGGCTCTAATACGCTTCTTAAGTTGTTGTCGTATGCCCTGCAGTTGTTTGCTGATTCCGATGCGAGAGAGGCTGAGGGGATGGAGAAATCAAATGTCTACGATCGGATCGATGGAATGTCCTTTAAAATTTTTCAGTTACTGATTTATACGCATGATTTGCGTTGGTTTGCCATATTCGTAGAGTGCTGTCTAATGGAGAAAATAGCGGTCATGATTATCGGCGACAGAGTGATTATCCATTTCGAGTGGGTGGCAGTGAAGATACGAATCAGAAACTCGGAGCTGCTATCGGAGCTTTGCAAGGCTTTTGATGCTTTCGGTTTGAAAGTGCTTGATTGCAGCCCGCAGAATAGTAGAATACCATGTAGAGAACGAAAATTGGAGTGTTCTTGAGGAAGCACAATTTATGTAATGGAGATTATTTACTTATTCAGATATTTGTGTTTGGATTACCCTGGATTGTTCGCGTGGGTTAGGATGTTGGTGTGAGGTATTGTTTTTCAATGATATTTGAGTGTGAAGAGCAAACGCTACAAATTGTATTTCATAATTACAGGAATGATCATGTGGCATGTATTAGAGCCCAATGAACTGAAGATCAGTTCAAAATACAAATAAATTTCTACCCGATTGAGTGTGTATTTATTAAATTGATTTCAAGCTCCATAGAACGCCTTCCGACTGCTGTTCATGCAGTCATCAGCAGGTAGGTTCAAAAATATTAAATATGAGAATAGTCGAAATCACTCTCGGTCTTCTTGTGTATATTGGGAAGTGTATTGGATAATACACGGTGAAGATTACTCTTATTTTAAGTTAGTAGGCAGGTCTACATATTTAGAATGGTAATTAGAAATCTCAGTTCGTTGCTATAAATAAGAGTTCTATATATCTTCTGAATAGAATAAATTTCAGTCGATTGTAGTGTATCTTATTCGTTGGATGTAGCAACTGGTGATGCTTTCAACGCATGTACTTATCTAAGAACCAGTTAACGATGCTATTCATCAAATGTCTGTAAGCTTCTCTTTTATCTCGATTCATATGTAAAATAGAATAGTGCTAGCATTTTCCATTATTTGAAGAAGTTATACAGATTTGTTAAAATTCAAATGATTCCTTTATGATAATTCGTTAATCTGATAGACTATTCTGGATAAGTATGTTATGTTTATTCCTTTTTTTTATTAAGTGGCCTTTGAAAACTTACAACAATGAAATGAAAAATACAATATATGGTACAGGTTTTCCATTGCTATTTTTAAGTTTTCAACTGAATCAGGACTATTCTATTTTGTAGGCATTGATCGCTAATCGAACTTTCGCAGTTCACGACAGGGAACTTTCATATGCATAATAATTGGTTCACCATTTGTAAAGTTGTAGTGTTATTTCTTTTTGGAATTCGATGTATCAAATAAATAGCGTGGATACATTATGCTCTCATNTGTTCGTTAGTCTATCGTCTATGATAATTCTTCTCATAACTATCGTATTGCACAAAGCATTTTCACTTTCTATTGCCACAGGTTATAACCCTGATGGCACACTCTGAAAAATATCTACCCTAAACACTTCGACACTCCTTTCAGGTCGTGTTTCACAAAAGAAACTACCTTCCTTTCTGTTTCGTGTATCATGATTCATGACGGTATTTAAGACAAACATCAATTGAGACATGTATATACTGACAATATATATGAACCTCGAATATACTCATTTATAATGAGCAGGAAAAAGATATTTTCTTTCTGTTTCCAATAATATGAACCAATCTGACGCAAAGGTCACATCTTTCTAATTGTGTGAAATTTTAGACGGTCGTTTTTGTTTTTGCAGCAATATTGTCGTATTTTTATGTCGATCGCAAATGAAAAGAGCAGCGAAGCAGGAAAGAAAATATAGAAAATGTATGTCTGCCTGTTTTTTTAAAATTATGTCACTCACAAGATGATTTTGAATTAAGACAACGACTGTATTGATAGAATAATTACATGACCTGTACTGAAACGACTTTCAACATAAGTAATAAGAATATATAGAATTACTGCATATTTAACATTTTTACCAAAAAAGTAATTAGGGTTGAAGGTTTTTCTGATGATTTGCTGTATTTTAGATTATGTGGTACATTTAAAAAGAGTCAACATTAGGTAACAAAACATTCTAATGATTTTGTAGTTTGATGAAAGTCAGAAGCGGAACCAAGAGTTTTTAAGCAGGGTAAGCGGCTCAAGATCGTGTAACCAATCATGAAATTCATTTTTCCAGCTAAAATTAAATTAAATTAAAAATAAAGTTTTTACTTGAAAGAAAACAATTTCAATTTAATGTGGGTTTAGTTGACAAAAAAATGCTAATCATATTTTATAGCAGTATCGAATGGACATAAGATAAATACTCGATGAATATGGGTCAATTTGGCATATCGAAAAAGTGTGTGAAGAAATACGGTAGTTATAAATGTCTTGCCTAATCTCATACAATGAACTAAGATAGCGCCTGAATCTCCTCTATCTAATTGCGTTCAATTGACAACACTAGCTACAATTCGAACTGTTGATTCAAAAACTTGATTCCATAAAATTTCACACCATCAGCTATACAGATAATGATTAAGAAAATATTCAAGTCAGTAAATTGATTTCGTACTTTTTGAATGAATAAGAAGCTAATGAACCATTTAAAAAATCCTTCACTTGGTGGCAGGGACGGCGCGAAGCAACAAAAATATAGGGGGGTTACTTGAAAACGGGAGGTTTTTTTTCAAAAATCGGAGTAAATTAATAAAAATTTCTTCTATTTTATTCAAATCGGAGTAAAATTGAAACAAAAATTTCGAAAGTTGGGGGTGGAGACCCCAACCCCCCCCCCGTTCGCGCCGTCCCTGCTTGGTGGATATCAATTATTGGTTGGAGAGAAATGAGGTATAGAGAATAATCTTGCGCATAACGAAATCATAGCCGACACCAAACAAACCATGTGTCAATGTTCTCGATTGTCCACAATGAATCTTGAAAAAAAAAGACGCAATTAAGTACATCGTCACCTCAAGCAAACAAAGCATGATTTGCAATAAATATACGCAATGTACCTATCACGAAAATGCATAGAAAAACAATTACTAGAATAATTTAAAAACCAAATTATCACAAATCTACAAAAAACATTGGAGTATCATGAGTTATTTTCATTGTATATTAGATTAAAGATTCTTTTAATTAACAAGAATTTCTTACGTTAAAAGAAATATTGTTCATTATGATCATGAACAAAATTCAATTGCAAAATAACGATATTTAATTCAGAGAATGAGTAAAACAGATATCAAACATATGCCTCGCACATTTTGAACAGAAACAGCATAAAATTGACAATATTTCCATGTTATATTTATTCAGTGATAATTCAAATGTATAAAGTATAATCTGATATTTTTCTTTCTATCAAATAAACTCAGAAAAGATTTTATTGACTTATCTTCAAATGAAGCTCTTGCTGATTTAAACACTATTCATTTAATTCTTGGTGGTGGAGAACAAAAAACATATGACATTTTACGTCATGCATATTCATTAATGATTAACCCGGATATTAATGCTCAAAATCAAGCAAAGGCGTTTTTTTATGATACAAGTGTGAATATGTTATATGATAAATTAATTTAAAATGTTACGATATTGAAATCGGTCTCATACGCGATGTCAAATCCAGAAGAAGAAGAAGCCAAAAGTAAAATATTTTTTATCCAACTCAAAAGACTTTAAATATATTTCAATTTCGTAGAAGCGGAAGATCCGGGTGAAGTTCTTAATCCACCCTCATTAGCAGTGTACTACGATTGTTTTATCGATCGAGGGTACATAGCTATTGAATGGGGTAAACGTAGCAATTTAACTCCCGTAGCATATATGTTATTTGGTCTACGTGCAAAAGAAAAACTTGAATCAACGTGGAAAATATCATATGATCAAATTGAAAAAATCAAAAATGAAATCGGTGATCAATCTTCAGATCAAACTCTTCTTGAAAAAGCACTTGCATATATACCGGATGATCCAGTGTTTAATACAGTTTACACTGATTCAGATTTACCTTCGTAACAATAGTTTATTGAATTCAGCTACAGATATTATACGAGTATTTTTTTCTTTAAGGTCTTTTTCACAAACAACATGATGATGATCCTGATGGTGATGCTTGATGAACGTTTGAAAGTTCTTTTCTTCCTTTTTAAAGAAAAAACTTAGATTAAAAAAAAAACTTTTATTAGAGTAAAGAGTGGCAAATGGTCACACGAAAAATAACTTTCTGTTTACGGAACAAATACCGTTGTGATTTTGGAAGATAAAAAAAAATTCTGTACCAACATTGTAGAAGAAACATTTTTCTATCGATCTGTGTTTTTCAATTTTTAAAATCTCGTCAGGATAAGTATCCACGCAGATTTTCGTGAGACCTACTCTTTCCTATGTCCATTTCCCCCAAACGGGGTAAATGGACATTCCCAGCAATTTTCAGTGAGAATAGTAAAATCTAATTCCTGACGCCATTTTTAGTCGAATTTCGGTAAAAGTTATATCATTTTTTAGTTCAAACATTTTTCTACAACCCTATACTAATTTTATCCTTCGAACTTCAGTCATATAAACCATTTTATTTACTCTTTTGATGGGTAGATATTTTTCAGAGTGTGCCATCAGGGTTATAACCTGTGGCAATAGAAAGTGAAAATGCTTTGTGCAATACGATAGTTATGAGAAGAATTATCATAGACGATAGACTAACGAACAATTATTTCGTTTATGAGATTTTTAACTGAAAAAATCTTCAAAATTTTGATTTAATAATTATGTTTAATTAATACATAATAAAAAGGAAAAAAATACTAAATTGAAGATTATCACTATTATTATAATTGGTTTACTTATAAAATGAGAAATATATATATATATATATATATATATATGTCAGATAAGCTAATATTGTCAGTAATCACAGGGCTATATCAAACATCGGATACTGTTGGTAAAATAATACGTTCACCAGGTTTGAATGGTGGCAAACCACGCGAAGGACAGCCAGCACACCGAAAAGCATCACCCAAATAGCACTAAATAAAATGAAGAAAAAAACAATTCTATTTTCGAGTTTTATTTTGTGCACAATACATACATTTCCACATGAAGATTTAATATTTTGTTGAGCTTGTGTATGTTCTTCTTGTTCCAGTTCTTCTGCTAAACCACATGAACAATTTTTACAGGCTTTTCGAACACCGGACGATGTTGTACCACAAGTATAGCCTATAAAAAATAGATGTTTATTTATCTAACAACTGTTATAAATTGTAATGGGGTTGCAGGGAAACCCACAGTGCATAATAAATACAATTCCAAAAGATCTCTGTTGATTGTTCATAAAGAACAATTTTGTTTTTCACAAGAAACATACTTTTAACATCAGGTTTTCCTCGATCATTGTCATCAAGTAAATTATCTGTATCAATAATACCATCATCATCATCATCATCATCACCTTCAAGTGTCCATACTCTTTTGCCTCCACCTGTTGTTGATACTTGTCTTACCAGACTAATACCAGTTTTACGTAATGGTACTGAATAACCAATATCAAACGAAGGTTTTTGACATAACCATAATGAGCCGTGTCGTTTAACATCATCCGTTTTATTTCCAATTAAAAATGACGAATTTGCATCCAATGGATTACAACTACTGAATCCACACATTTTAAAATGATCAATAGTCTGTTTCTGTTTCAAATGTTCCACATGTGTTATGAGATAACCATTTGGATGAAGTAAACGGAAAAATTCATTTAATAAATCAAGATTAGTCGGTGCATCATTTTTACTAACGAGATCAAATAGAATAATATCACATGATGACGTTCCGCGTTGAGCTTTTGTTTTTAATTGAAAATAAATTAGTTCTAGATTAAAACGAAATCAATTAAACTTACATTCGAATAACTTTTGTACATTTTCGAATGCAATATGTGCTTGCTGTGCTTTGTTTTGTAAAGTTTCTTGAAAAGTAGCTAAGATTTCTGAATCTACATCATCAACCCAAACAACAAGAATACTTTTTGCATGAGCAAAAATCTCGTTCATTGAAATATTTTAATTAGAAGACAATCTAAAAAAGAAATGTGAGATTGTAATAATTAATCAATTTTAGGAAATCTTGGCCTGGGATACATCTGATTGAAGTTGCTATGTAGATTTTCTTTGAGCATCATCATCTGACAGCAAACACCCAAAATCAAAAAAACAACACATCAGCATTGATTGAATGTCGAATACGAGTTAAAATCATATGAAACAAATACGATTTTCTCGTTTTGCTTTATTTCAAACAGAAAAGAACGCATAAATTTAGTCCATATTAAAGAAGATGAAACACACAGAAACGCGTACAGTACGAAGAATGATGAAATCGAACGAAAAAGAGAGAGAGAGAGAGAAATAGGAAATGTGTGTGTTGTGTATATTTTTTAAACCCAAGAAAAAAAGAGAAACCAACACGAAGACAAAGCAGGTGAATGATAGTGAAAGAAACAAAAATATGTTTATAATCGTTTGATTTTAATAATCAGCACCAGCGCATGTCTCCGGGTTTATTTCTTATTAAACAATCTAGATACGGACGAAAGAAATAGAGAAAAAGAAAACAAAAAAAAACTGAACTAGATCATGTATTTACACTCCTAGAGATAAAGAGAATAAGAAAGAAAAGAAAACAGACAAACCGATGTTCACTTTTTGGTTTGTTTTTATGTATATACACGCAGATTTAGTTTAAAGCGTCTGTACGCGTATGTATTTAAAGAAGAAGAAAAAAATATATATATTTATAAATATAAGATGCTATTTTTTTTCTATTAATTTGAACCGTCATTCATTAATAGTTGAGCTGTTCGAGCCTGTGCATTAGTTGCCGCACGTTTTGGATAGGAACGTAAATACTCATCATCACTCAATTGATTTACATCTGGTCGATCACGAACATTATAAGTTAGACAACGTCTAATGAATGCCTATGAAGAAGAAGAAGAAGAAGAAAAACAAAATTCGTTTTGTTCTATTTAAATTGAGGAAAGCAAATTTATTATTTTTACTTTTGCTCCATCGGATATGATTGGTTTTGGTGGAAATTCAACTTCTTTGGCTTTTAATATTGTTTGATTTTCTAAGATTGCTGCTTGAGATTGATTATGGCCGTAAGGTTTCCGTCCGTATAAACATTGAAAGAAAATACAGCCTAAACTCCATACATCGACTTTCGAAGAGATTTTCGGAGGATTTGGCCCTTGGACAAATACTTCCGGAGGAAGATACCTACAAAGAAAAATGTGATGAAAATGACCGAAAAAGAGTTCCCAGTCGACAACATGTATTCAAAGCGCCTATCTAGTTAGTCACTATAGAATATTTCTTTCTCTATGGAAATGTAGATCGTATATTACCAATAGGTTCCGGCTCCTTGAGATGTTAAATCCATTCCATGTTCTGGATCGTATGTATCTTCGCACATTTGTTTACTTAAACCAAAATCTGTTATTTTGATTTCGCCACTACTAGTGCCAGTACCCAATAATATATTAGCAGGTTTCAGATCGAAATGAATCACAGGTGGTTTGATACCATTATTTAAATATCTTAAAGCGCTAACAGTTTGCATCACCACAGAACGTACTTCTTTTTCAGGAATATATTTATGTTGTTTTAAGAAGAAATCTATATCGTTTCCTTCGATATATTCAAGAACTGTACAAAAACTAAATGAGAAAAATAAAAGAATAATTAGAAAAATATTACAAGAGAATTTTTACTTACGAATCTGTATCGATTTCAAATACATCATAAAGACGTACAATACGAGGATGATCAAGGGTTTTAAGAATATCACATTCACGTAGTGCATGTCTATAAATAAAGCAAACAAACAAAATGACTAAAATCTTTCGAAAAACTGAATTTACTTGATATAATTGGCTTTCTTTTCTTCTTTCCATTCTTTATTTAGTTGATGAACTTTAACGGCAACATAACGTTGTTCTTTCAAGCAGAATGCCTTCAAATAAAATTTTATATATGAGTTGACTTTGCTCAAGTTTTTTATTTTGCTTACTTTATGAACTTCACTGAAGCCACCTTTACCAATAAGACTTAAAAGTAGATAACGATCATTTAGCACTGGATGATCTTGGAATCTAAGGCAACCAAATGAGGTTTTCAGATTATATTAGAGCAATCAGGGTGTGGGAGTTAATACTTCCGCCAGACACACTCACAAGTTCGCCGCAAAAAAAAACATTCATTTTCTTACCTGGAATGATCTTCATTATATATGCGTTTTAATTCGCGTATATGTAGATTTCTTTCTCGTTCAAGTTTTTCATATTCTATTTGAAGATCCATTTCTTCTTTCTTCAGTGATGCTAGCCGTAGACGTAAGATTTCTTCGGATTCATTCCACTCACTGATCAATAACCTGAAAGATAAAGATTTCTATTCAGCCTTTATTTACAACTGCAATAAACTTACGCTTTATTAGCATCATTTGTTGTTTTCATACCATCGTTACTACTTTCGTCTTGTAGTATAAATGCACCAGTACGATCTTTCGTTCTGGATTTTGAATTTGGTGTTTTAGGTGTTTTTTCTTTTACTTCACAATTGGGTCGACGACGTACTAGGTTACGACGTTCACGATCAAGTTCTTCTCGAGCACGTTGTATCATTTCTTGTTGTCTTTAATTATAAAAAAATAAAATAAAATAAATCGAATTTTGTCTTTAATTTGAAAAATAATGCCACATACTTCGAAATATCAGAGAATGCTGTACCATCGGTCCAGTTCTCCACAAATGTGGCACCTTGTCTTTGGGTAACGAATTGACCAAGCCTCAAGCGATTTTCCATACATTTCTGTCTTGCTTGTTTTCGTTCTAACGTTGACTGAAACAAAAATTTAATTAAGAAATAACATTAATTATATTATTGTTTATTAATTTTCCTGTAACGCACAGGAAATGTTGTTCTTTCATCGCATGAAAATGAGATATATTTTTAAATCACGCAAACATGTGAAACTCCCCAATGTGCGCCCGGGACATTATTTTTTTGTTTACTATCCATTAAACATGAAACTTATTCAGTACAAGGTAATACTGAAATAATAATTTACAGACGACAGAGTTGATTAGCTCTGTTAAACGCATTCAAACATGTTCGAATTGAATTATGAATTCTTATTTTAGCAAAAAATTGAATAAACGACGTTTAATAATTGAATACTTAGACGTTGATTACACAATTAATCTAAGCCTATTTTCTTCGATCATTCGTGACATATAAACCTTTCATTTATTTTTCTACAGTAAGATATTGAAGTCTGCATCTTATCTTTTTAGTTTTAATTGTAAAAAGTACTATAGAAAACTAGGAGAAAAATATTTCGTATAGAACCAGAGAGTATGGAAACATTCTTCTCACTAAATGGCATCGTAACACAACATAGTAAGTTACTCAAGGATTGTTCGTTCAAACGTAACCTCGATATTCTCTCCGGAAAAGGTCGACCGATAATTCCTAAACTGCAAGCATTTCTATTGGTCAATTGCTTTTTCCAAATATACTCAAGCAATTGTTTGAGTTGTTTCTATCACGAAATAGGAACACAAAACTGGTAACCTTTATGTTCTTACGATAAGAGCAATCAAAATAAATCAAGTCATTTTTTCACTGAACAGTGAGTTATCTATCGGACGACTTTTCTCTACGTCACTATTAACTTTTGATATATCTATATATTCTAATAGGAAAATAATTATAATAGAACATACTTTTTCTACAAGTAATTTCTTATTAACAGCTAGACATTTTTGAAGTATATTTTGTTGTTTATCATAATCTTTTTTAACATCTGTTAACTGCCGACGTAATTCATCACGTTCCTTAAAAAAGAAAATTTTTCATAAAAATCTACTTTTAGATTAAATATATTTTACTCTAATTAAATTTTGTATTTGACTGTTCTTAGCTTCAAGTTCATCTGTCGTCGAATTGATTGTTCCTGTTATATCAGTCTAGAATGTTTTTTTTTTGGAAAATATATTTTAAATAGAAAACAAAGTTTTTTTCCAATGTTCTACCTGAGTTTGCTTTGCATTTGGTATGGATAGAGTCGATGATTCTGATGTATGATTTGAATTCGAACATGAATCGCTTTGTGCAGATGAAGCTGGTGAAAATCCGATATCACGATAATTTGAAATTGTCTTAAAATTGAAAAAATTCAAGATTAAATGAAACGATTCAATTCAATCTTTACTTTATTCGCATCTGCTGTGATCTTCTTGTCAATTGATGGTAATAATATATTTGGTGTTGTAGGTTCTGGTAGTTTTGGTTGATTCATATTCATATCACTTTTCCGTCGTTTTACTTTCTGTCCATCAATATTATCATCAATTTTAGGTGTCCGTTTTCGTCGTACTTTATCCGTTGTGGATAGTTTTTTAAATGTATTGCTATTGTTACTTGACGCAGATGTTGTCGAACCGAATAGACGGAAGGGTGAGGTTGGAATTGGTTTAAAATTAAGAGTTTCCGTATCTATAGAATTGACTATATCTGGTTGCGAAAGATTCTAAAAATGGTAATCTTAATAAATGAAAATTACGACGATTAATTTCTACATACACGTTGTAGAGTGTTATTGGATGGCGGCGTACGATTACCGTTATCAACTGATTCACTACGTTGAGGGAATAATTTAAAAGTTAAGGGAAGAACATCTTGACCTTTAATTTCCGTAGAAGCAAAAATGATGAATAATTTTTTCGATTAATAAAAAACTTTTTTTTTAATCATACCGCGTGAATTAAATTGATTTTCTGTGGGTTTCGAAACGAGATTCATTCTAGAATACTTATCGTTCTTTCATATCTAAATAAAAAAATAAATAACAATTTGTTTTACTAGTAGTTGTTTATTTGAAGACTAATTTAAAACAATAACAACACCTATCGGTAGAGGGCACACATCGTATTCACGTGATTAATCGATAGAATCCAACCGTAAAGGAAAAAAAAGAAATAAAAAACAACACATATATTACAAATATGAAAGAAAGAGAACAAATTCTATTCATTCTAAAGATCCATCCTCATTGGTTTTTAATATACACATATTTCCGGGTATAGAATAATCAAGAAAAAGATATATAGTTATATAGATACGTGTAGTCCATTAAAGATTAGAGTTTTTTGGTTTTATTGACAAAGAAAAGAATAGGAAGTTGCTGTAGATTGATCATATTTATCACGATACAGTTCTACAAATAAAAATCATCCTAGCGGACAGTTAGTAGCATCGCCCGTTCGTGCAACTCGACCGATCGATTGTTAAAAGGTTCGTTCTGACATCTTTTATTTGGCTTAGCGACAACCAATAAGCTCGCACATTAAATAGTAAAGAGGGCGCTATTCATAAAATGAGATAACATGGCTACAAGAAAAAAGTAGTTCCGAATTGATAGACTATAGACACGAGCTGGGGAAAAATGAGTGTGTGAGAGAAGTGCACTCTCAATAACCAAAACTTTTCCGTTTTGTTTTGTTTTTACTTGTTTTACTATAACGTACTAGAAAAAATAAAAATTTTCAGGCAAAAATTGAAAATATTCGAACAACTTAAGTATTTACTTTTACTCTTCAATATTTTGTTCAAGCTATTGCAGCAATTACAATTATATTTACTATCAAACATTCGAAATTTTCTATTCCTTTCTGTTTATAAATTACGTTCTTGGAAAATGGGGACACCAATGGTCAAGCATGACTGGACGTTGGGATATGTGCAATGGTAGACCTAGGATTTGTTTGACACAATACGATACAGCGGCATAACCAGGATTTTTAGACCGTTGGGCAAACTTCTATTAAGTCAAAAAAAAAACATAGACAAAATTGGCAAGACTTTTATTGATAGACCAAAATTGTTTAACCCAACAAAGTATTGATAACGTAGAAAAAACACAAAAATAAAATAAAATGATGTTAATTTGACTACACAAAAAATGTGAGATTCTTTTAACCTAAGATATATACAAAGAAACTCAGATGTTAAGCTTGCCTCAGACTTGCTGAGCTATACATATTTAATTCTATCTTCAGTCTTTATTTATAACATTTGGTTTTGAAATTCAAACACCAAAATCAAGACGACGATTGTATATTTTTTACATATTATTTCAATATTTCGAAGAAAAGTAATAGCTTAATAACGTATTGCCACTGGCAGTGAGGGCCACCCCTTTACGAAATTTTTTTCGATTTTTCCCAGCAGAAACAAAACAGAAAAGAGTCATAGTGCCTCAAATAGGCTTCAAAAACCACTTTTTGACCAGGAGTGCCACCCCCTTACTGATTTTTTGGATCCGCCACTGTGTATTGGGTCGTCTTTCAGTTGACATGACTTAGTATTAGTCTTTTAAAACAGGACAAAGGAGAACAACAAAATTATAAGTATAAGTGCGCAATTTTACATCAGCATATTTGCTGTTTTTAATGCGGTGCGAAGCATAGTATTTATGTAGTCCTACGAGGATTTTTTTTTCTTTAATGCGATGCGAAGCAGAAGCATTTATGTTGTCCGTCGCGAGTTTTTTTTTTTTTTTATTATTTTTTACTCACTTGACGTACGCATCACAAGTCTTCATTTTGTGACGCGATGATCTCGAGAACCGAAAATCGTAGAAAACTCGTTGAAACGTGAGATCGAACTTGAGAAATATTTTTTCTAATTTTTCATCGGACGTTTTGTTTACTCACAAATGCGGTTCCAAAATGACGAAAATGAAAGAAATTTATCAAGAGATAATTAAAGTGACGTCATGAACATATATTAGCCACTATAGTCTATTCATTTACAGCTGATCTAAGATAATGAATCATGGAGATAATTAAACGATCAAACGAAATCGATCCTTAAGAATGTATCGCTAAGTAAGAATAGAGTTTTCTCAGTGATGAATTTCATCATGTCGACATAAAAAGTATTCAAGATTTCTCTGCATCGTAGATTTTTCGTGAAGATCCGATTCGAGCTTCGCATCGCATTTCGTATTCGAGTGAAGCTTGAATACTATCTAGCTCTTGTTTCTTTGGACTTTTCTTATAATATAGTAGCGCGAAAGAAGAGACAAGATAGGTTATAATTCAATCATTTTCTTTTCATGTCAGCATTTTGAGAGAAGATATGAGAAACGAACAAGTATACATATAGATGTGCATGTACAATTGCGTATTGGTCATTTTTTGTTGTTGCTTTCTTCTATTAATTCTTCATATGAACCAGTAAAGGGTACACATGCGATTCAAACGAAAGAAAAAAAGACAGTAGCTAGTTTATTCGAAAGTAAATAATTGTGAAAAAGTAAAATTTCAATGGGCAAAAATTAACTAATGAAAATTACAATGGGCAATTGCCCATTTGCCTACCCTCCCCTGGTTACGCCGCTGACACGATACAGTGTCCCAGCGTCCGGCACTTTTATGGAATATGTACGTATTCGTTGTTATATTTAACGGATGAAGCCGTATATTTTCTATTAAAGTGGATGACAAAAAAGAGAATTGAAAATTCCATTTTCATATTTAGTGATGCCTTCAGTTTTTAATTTAATATTTACATCGCTAAAATTTATAGCAATTTGTTTTTACGATATTAAATCTAAATAAAACTCTAATTTTAATCAAAAGTCGCAAACCTGAATTCAACTTCACTTTAGAGAAAAATAATTTTCTTTTATTCTGCGAACCACATTTACGTGCTTGTAGCATGTCATATTCTTTATTCGATCTAATTAATCGTCAATATGAATTACTGATATTATCTTTGTAATGTCATTTATCTGAAATCGGTTTCAATTCGTTTAACATCAACCTATATCCTTGAAAAGCAAACATCATAAAGTTTAGTCAGCAACTAAGATGACCATAAAAACATTTGATTGCATTTTTATTTGTCCTTGACAAATTATGTTGAACAGTTGACACTCACATGCAACTCTTCTCTCTCTCTCTCTCCCGTTAGTTGATATTAAAGCAATGTACATGTCTTATAAGTCTTCGTACAGCTATATAGTACGTATATAAATAATGGATGCGAATAAAAAAAGAAAAAAAATTGGTTTCCTTTATTGTATTTTTATTTTTTATTTGATGCTATTATGCATATAGAATGATTATGGTTCAATCATAATAAAATATTGTGATGTAATATGGATGAACTTCATATAAAAGTATAATACGAGTTGTTTTTAGTATACTTACGACTATACTCGATAAACAACAAGCTTCCGGACGCAATTGTATTCATAAAGAAAACTCTTTTCGCATCATCGCATGTTTGAGTATATATAATATATGCTGCCGACAATAGTATGTACAATTCATAATGTTTGTCTTGTGCTGAACAATTCATTTTCTCTCTCTCTCTCAACCAGTAGTAGCCATAGTCCCTAAACAGCCTTAGACATATATATATACATGGATGAATAACATTCAATATTATCTTACTCATCTCTAAAGAGTTGTTCATAAAGCGTTTTTTATTATTATGCATATTATTCTAACATATTTGCTTCCTGTTTCATACGTAATGATGCAAGTTCATAATATCATTCAGTGACAATCGGATTGTGTGTTTGTAATTTAAAACGTGATCTTCATCGACTTCTCCTTGGATATCATTTTATCGGTGCGTATGTATTTCTTTGGAGAAGAAAAAACATGAATATTCTCGTTTTTCACATTTGTTTCTTGCAGATAAAAAAAAAAGTGACAAATTGTAATACACTTTTTTCTCCTTCTTCTGGCTTAAATCAGAATAATTCTCTTTGGTACTATTTAACTAAATAGAACAGCTTCTCTTTCTCTTTCTTTCTCATTCTTCTTTTTGCTTGTGCGTGTATACGCATAAGTTCGTATGCGGGGATATACCGATCAATTAGAACATAGGTACGACAGGTGATAGTATACGAAACATAAGTATATAGATATTTTTATTGAATATGAAATGACTCTTATCGAGAGTTTTTCTTTAAGAGCCAAGGTGTGATATGAATCTAGATTGTTGTCTATGTAGTATTTTTGATTGAATTTAATATCCTTAAAAAGATCATGTTTGACATTTTGAAAAAGAAAAATTTGATTTTTTTCTTGACTATGGGAATTGATATTTTTTTCTTTCTTCTTTGAAGATGATTTGATTTAATCTCCAATGAGAACAAAATTAATCAACACGTTTTCTTATCTTCTACAATTCTTATTACTGTGGGAATTGGTCAGCTATACTCAAGGTAAGAATAGAGTTCAGGTTAAAATAATAAAAAGAAATGTATAGACAAGAGTAATTTAGCAGCAGTCAACTTTTGTTTTTATTGAGTGAAGAAGTAAAACAAGGTCAAAAAGAGGAGGAGCCATCCAATTGAACTAATGCTATTTTAATAGAGCTGTTTCGTTGTATTCTTTTGCGTTTTCTATAACAATAGAGATGAATATTTAAAATTCAATTAATCAGTCTGCTGTGTTTATTTTCGTTTTAGCCTATTGGATTCGAGATCTTTCCTATTGCCCACGTAAACGTGAAGTAACTCGACAACGACAATGTTTTAAATCATGTTTTGATGATAGCGATTGTCAAAGTCGATATCGTTCATGTGTATGTGATTATGATTGCGGCATGTCATGTGTCAAACGAGGTGACTTTCTTTGTTCTCTTTGTTCCTTTTTTCATATTGATTTTGTTAATTAAAGGTATCACTTGTCCTTTTTTAACGGCTCCCGATCATGGAAATATAATATATTCAAACGGAAATCGATTTGGCTCGCGTGCATCTCATGAATGTGAAACCGGTTATGTTCTTGAAGGCCCGAAATATCGATATTGTCAAGGCGATATGTGGTGGGGTCCGACCAATTCAATACCCTATTGTGCGAAAGAAGGTATTATTAATTGAATTTGACGTTTTGATACTTGTTCACATTTGACAAGTCAAGATGATTTTATACATCAAAGTTATAGGTGTATCGAGATAAGCATAAGACACTGACTTAGGTGTTCTTTTTCTATTACACAAAAGTCTAGACTTGTTATAATGTTCGTTCAATTGAAGAAAATTATGATATAATTAAAGCGACAAAGGGTGTTTTTGATATTGCTAATTGAGTTTTTCTTCTTTCGTTCAAAATAATAGTCTTTTGTAATCAACCACCGGAGATAATCAATGCAGTTAATGATGTTCCGAGTACGATAACAACATTTCATGCTGGTTATTCGGTGAAATACACGTGTTTAACGGGTTATGTTGGGTATGATAGAAAAAATGAATTGATTGATCTATATTGTTTGTTATTTGTTTCATGATAGGAATGGTACAGCAACATCAGAATGTACGTTTTTAGGTCAATGGACATTTTCAACATTAAAATGCACTCGTAAGTGATAAATTATTCTTTTTTATATGATTATTTATTGAAAAAAATATACATATATATATATATATATAGCTATTGATTGTGGTTCACCGGGTATATTGCGTAATGGATTTTTAAGTGGTGAACGATTTGATTATCCGAATATGATCGCATTTTTTTGTAATGATGGTTTTGAACTTGTTGGAAAAGACACAACGAGAGCTTGTCAAGAAAATGGTTTATGGTCTGGTGCAATGCCATTATGTCAAAGTAAGTTGCATAGATTTAGTTATTTATTAAATAGACATTGTGATATCTTCCACCCAGGAAAACCTTGAAACTCTTTTTATACAGTATTTATAGTTCATTGCTTGATTTTCCTTTAAGAAAAAGCCTGCGAATCACCACCAATAGTTTCTCATGGTCAGATAATTCAACCGGATCGAACTACGAATGAAACGGTTCAATATATTTGTGAAGATGGATATCAATTGCAAGGATCATCGATTTTAAAATGTATATCATCTCAGTGGCAACCTGCAGCACCAATGTGTGAACGTGAGCCTTCCGAAATTCTTGTTGGCAGCGTTGAATTTTCTAAGAATAAATTTTAGAAATCACATGTGATGATCCACAAACAAGTTTTAATGGTTATATTGAATCTTCGTCACATGATAATTCGTCAGTATACGCAATTGATTCGATAGTCAAATTCAATTGCCCGTCAAGTTTAATATTACGTGGTTCACCTATATCCAAATGTCAATTTAATCGCAGTTGGGCACCCAAGATTCCCAAATGCGAAGGTATGTTTTTTTGTTTTTCGATTAAATTAATTTTTGATTTTCTGCTCCTATGAATAGAACCAATACCGTGTTTAATTCCAACATTACCTTCGAATGCTTATTATCGAACGCTTCGTTCGGATGTTCAACAAATCGATGATGGTGCTCAATTAGAATATATGTGTGAAAATTCTCGATATCGTCGTCGTATATTTTGTCGACAAGGAAAAATTCTACCACGACAACCAAAATGTTTCAGTGGTAAGATAAATCGAAAGAAAATCGAAGTAAAATTCTGTTCCTTTTCGATAACTTAGATTGTCAAGTCGAAAGTAAAAAAGTCATGTTTTCAAAAAAAATCTATCGTCATAGAGAAAAAGTTTATTATACTTGTAAAAGTCATAATCTATCATTAATAAACAATGAAACAATAGTTTGCATCAATGGAAGTCTTTCTCTACAACCTGTATGTCCACAGATCGAAACAATGTGTACTGTGCCTCATACACTTTTCCTACGCAATATCGCTAATACGACAATACCATCCGGAACATCAATGGAAATCGGTTCATCATTTTCATATACTTGTATTCAAGATCATCAACCTATTAATCAGTCAGCAAGCGTTGAATGTCTTGAAGATGGAAAATTATCTCATCATGTAAATTGTGTACCAAAATCATGTAAAGAACATCCACCCATGATAACGAATGGTCGAACAATATTTCATTCAACATCACACGGTTCTGCAGCGAGATATCGATGTTTTCCAGGCTTTAAATTTGAAAATAATAATCTAGTAAAACTTACATGTCAATTTGGTCTCTGGCTACCAAAGCAACTACCCAAATGTTTGCCGAGTGAGTATGGCGTTTCTTTAGATTTCAAATAGCGAAGATTTTTTCTTCTCTTAACTTATGCGCTAATCTATATGACAATTATATGGTCTATTTTGAGTCTTGAAAAATAGGGAAAAAAAATCTTCGTCTTTGTTTTAGTATTTTGTCCCAATCCTGGCCCACTGATCTACGGTCGCACATATGTTGTAATTAGAGATGAGCGTGTATCCACTTTGCCGATTCGAAGTGAATTTCGTTCTTATATACCAACTGTAAGTCATGGCCGAACCATTGAATTTGAATGCAATTCAGGTAAAATCCATTTTTTTTCTTTTTATCAGAGAAATGACGAATTACATTTATAATTGCAGGATATGTTCTTCAAGGACCAAATGGATTAACATGTAATCATGGCCGATGGATGCCTGCTGAAAGACCACGCTGTGTTATTAGTAAATCTCAAATCTAGTTGTTATTATAAAAATAACTTTTTCTTTTATCTTTTTTTTTTTTAGAAAATCATGTACAACCAAATATTATCTTTACGGGATAATCATTTTCATGAATAAATGTTTTTTTGTTTGTTTTTATAAGTAACTGGAGCTGGTCTTCATTTTTATTGTTGAACGGCTTCCCTATCTCAGGTTGATATTCTTTAAGAAAGAAAGAAAAGACATTTCATCGATGAATGTGGTTTTTTAACGCGTTTGATATTTTGTAATTGCTTTTTTTCTCTCTATTTTAGTCAAGAATGATTGCTGTTCTTTTTCTTTGTCTAATTTTTTTGCTATAAGTGATTGGAGAATATAAATAATTGCGTTCTTTAGTTCCAAAGAAATCGAACTGATCATTTTATTCCGATCTCTTATAATAGAAAAATGAAAATGACGAACGACGTGGCAGTGCTGCGACGAAAACAAGAGAGCAAAAAAAAAATTTGCGATGAACTGCATTTTTTCCTTGCAGGTGTAATGTGGCAAGGCAAAGTGAATAGGTTACGATAGTTATGACACACTGCTAATGCGTATTTTTTTCATTTCAAATTGAAAAGCAAAACAGATTTTATTAATATTCATAGTTACACTTCTCCTAAATTGACAGACGTTTCAAATTGACTTACACCTTCTATACGATCGGTTTCGTAACCGAAGCGAGCGATTTTTGATGCGAAACAGATGAGGACCTAATCATACAAGATGTTTGAATTTTGCGGTGAAAATTAAAGAGAATCAGATTTCTAATAATGATACTTTCCCACGTGAAATAGTATATTTGAAAATAATTCTTTGACATATGTCAATATTGGTCAAGATTCTGATCGAAATTAATATTTAATTGGATTATCTTGAATTTGGTCGAAAGTAAAAATGTCGAAACTGAGGTGATACTTCCATGCATTTTTTTTTCTTTGTGAAACTGAATCAGTCAGTAGACTAAATTAAAATAAAACGTTTATTATTAAAAGAAGACTAAAAGACAGTCTAAAACGTTTTTTAGGATGATTGTTAATCCACCTTGAAACAATGTTCTATCTGCTTGATTAAAACTTCTTCTTTTACCACAACTAAAGACAAACTTTTAAGGAAATCCCACATGCTGTAATGAGATAGTTGCTATATATATCATACAACGTGTTTATTTGACTTTGTAATGCTGTTGCTGTTGTTGTTGTTGTGTCTTTTTCGGCTTCGATGCACCAGATGGTCATTCAAGTTTATACCTTCTTTATTCGAATTAATGAAATATCAATCATCGTTGATGATAGATATTGAATCAGAGGGAGCTATCACTTTTATTTTGTTTCTCGAATAATGAATGATTGAAGATTCCTATTCGTATTCTTCTTTGTCCATTTCTTTGCACTGAACGAACAATAGTGTGATAGACCGATCATAAATTTACAGTAAGATAAGTCAATATTCGTCGTGAAATAATGACATCTTCATCACACACTTTTCTAAACAGTCTTCATTTAAACTTCTCTTTTTTTGCACCAAAGTTTTATTTCAATGTTCTTATTTTCGACCAAATTCAAGTTTCCGTCCGTTTATTCGATAACTCTTCACAATTACATTCGGTTGAGCTGAAATTTTGTGCACAGAATTGTCTCATCAATATTTAGGTCGAGTTCGAAGATGAGAAGGATCCGACAAGTAATGGCTGAGTTATCGAAAAAATTGTCACTTTCGAGCAGACCATCCCTGAGGGGGAGTACAGGGATTTTTCAAAAAAACTTTTTTTCTCAGAATTATCCACAACATATATAAATCAGCTCAGTTTTTAACGCTGATTCTGAATCCGATATTAGTTTCGAACTAAATCGTAGCTTTCTAACGAAACATCGCCTGAAAAACGTCTCAAAATGCACAAAAACAGCATCCAGAAATCAAGTTGCCCAGTTTCTCATGATAATTTTGGTGTTCAGACATTCTAGAATGACTCATATATCCCATGCACTTTTTTCAGTACACATAGCTCTCGGATGAAATCCGAAGTTTCCACATTTATTTTTGTTTGTATTTATGTAATATACTTTAGGTACTCTCTAAGACCATAATTCAATTATGACTTCGACACTAACAAATTCTGCCAATATCTGCCCTTTGTTTTATTCGATTAAATATTGATCGTTTAAGCCATAGCTTTCCTTTCACACGCTAATCTAGCCGAGTGAATAATATTACATAGGGTACTTCCTGAAAAAACCATAAATTTACTGCGTCTTTATTTTTGTGCTCGCCAATGTACTTTGTTTATTAATAACATACAGATTATATTTTCATATTATTCTATTGTTGCTCGATATGTAAGGATCATTCAATTAGCACTTTTAAATTATTCACTTCATCACAGATAATTTTTATGTCATCATCTCCCGAGATAAGATGACATATTTACTTTCAAGCACATTCATATTCGCATTCCGGGTCTTGGTTAAAATGATAATGATAAAGAAGACTTCACATAAATTAGAAGTAGACATCATTGCTCACTTTTCTTTTCGTAAAATGCAGAAGGAAACGATCCAGAATATATTCTCAGACACTCCGTCTCTTTTATGTTTATCGATACAAGTGCTAGATGAACAAAACGAGGCATATTGTCACTTTATCATGTGAAAACACAAATGAGACTCTTCTTTTTTGCTTCTATTTTGCTATCGAAGAAATTCTACATGAACAACCGAAATAGAACGAGAGCAAAAGAAAAAGAAAAGTAAGCAAATAAAACGATAGAAAATATAGTACTAAGTTTACTGAATGTGACACAAGGAAATGAAGAGATAGAAAAAGCATAAGATTCTTATTGTTTCTATTCATAATAGAATGCTGGTTCATGTCTTTCTTTTTTCTTCAAGACTATTCTAGAGTGGCTCAAGTTTTATGCTAATGAATCAAAAATCTACCCATACTGGTTCCACTGATAAAACTATTCTTCGTCGATATTTAGAATTACCACAACCAGAAAATAAGGTTTTGGCTACTTATATATGGATTGATGGTACTGGAGAAAATCTTCGAGGTAAAAAAACAAAGATTTTTTGTGTACTCAAAAAACAAAAGTGAGTACACTAGAGAATCGGTCAGTGTGTCCGGCCGATTACACGATAGCTCCTGAAAGGCTGATCCAATTGTCATGAAATTTTGTACACCGAATGATCTCATCAATATTTCAGTCGAGTTCGAAGATGAGAGGGATCTGTCAAGGAATGACTGAGTTATCGAAAATGTTGTCATTATTGACCAGACCATCTCTGAGGGGGGTACAAGGTTTTTTCTCAGTATTATTCACAACACATATAAATCGACTCAGTTTTTGCAGTACACATAACAATCGGATGCAAATCCGATGTTTCCGCATTTATTTAAAACATATATTCGGTATACTAAGTTGTTCCTTGCTTTTTTGTAACCAGCTAAAACTCGAACAGTCGATCAAGAGCCAACTTCACCTTTGGAATTAACTTGGTGGAATTTTGATGGTTCATCAACGGGTCAAGCCGAAGGTTCAAATTCAGATACTTATCTTAAGCCTGTAGCTATTTATAATGATCCATTTATGGTCGGTCGAAATAAACTTGTCATGTGTGAAACATATAAATATAACAAAGAACCAACTAGTTAGTACAAATTTTGAATTCATAATTTCATACTCTGATGTTGCGTTCTCTGTCAAATGATTATCTTCTATATATTAGGTTCAAATAAGCGATTTCAATGTGAACAAGCTATGAAAGCAGCTGCTGGTCATCGTCCGTGGTTTGGACTCGAACAAGAATATACACTTTTAGATCGTGATGGTTGGCCATTTGGATGGCCTAAAGGTGGATTTCCGCATCCGCAAGGTCCGTATTATTGTGGTGTTGGCGCATCAAAAGCTCTAGGTCGAGATATAGAAGAAGCTCATTATAAAGCGTGTCTCTATGCTGGAGTGAATATTAGTGGAACAAATGCTGAAGTCATGCCAGCCCAATGGGAATATCAAGTTGGTCCATGCGAAGGCATTGATGCTGCCGATCAATTGTGGCTATCGAGATATTTACTATTACGTATAGCAGAAGAATTCAATGTTCAAGTTAGTTTTGATCCGAAACCAATTCCAGGTGATTGGAACGGCGCTGGATGTCATACTAATTTCTCAACACAGGCAATGCGTGAACCGAATGGCATTGAGTAAGTCATTTTTCGTTGTGCATGCGCTTTCGAATAATTACTTCTGAGAATGTTTTATAGAGTTATCAAAGAAGCAATTACTTTACTTGAAGTACGTCATAAAACACATATCGAACGATATGGCAGAGATAATGCAAGACGGTTAACTGGTCGCCATGAAACAGCTGATGTAAGTTTTTCTCAATGAATTCGCTCTTTAGTTTTCTGTTTCTATTCTTAGATCAATCACTTTAGTACTGGTATTGCAAGTCGTGGTTCATCAGTACGAATTCCTCGACAAGTTGGCGATGAAAAATGTGGTTATTTAGAAGATCGTCGGCCAGCTTCGAATTGTGATCCATACGCCGTGACAGACATCATAGTTCGTACTGTGTGTCTGGGCGAGAAAGATCCTGAATCATAAAATATATTATTATTATTATTATTTAAAAAATTGATTCAAGATTGGAACTTAATCGTGCATGTAATATTAGACAGAATTCTATATTATGACGGGTTTCTTTTTGTTTCAGCTTATTCATGATTTGTCATATGTCGGAAATAAACGAATTCTTTCTTTCTTTTTGTTTTGTTACGTTCAATGCTTTTTTCAACTTAATGTATAAGTATATGAAGCAAAATAGATTTCTTTCGTCAGTCGATTACTCTTTTAGTTAATTGCTTATGCTTGTTTCTCGGAAGTAGTTAGATGCTTTTTGTTTTTCGCAGTATTGTGGTTAATCGAATAGACATAAAATCTTCATCAATATGTGTTTTGAATGAAAAAAAAATCAGTTTTATTATACAATGAACGTCTATCTATTGGTTCTTGGAGAAATATTGATTTTAAAATAAAAATAAAACGCGATTCTACTCAATAATTGTACAAGCGGCTACAGTAAATTGTTTTTGAAATTAGAGAAATGCTCGTTGTCAGAAAAGAGTGTGCCGTGCAATATCGTCACTGATCTTGTCTTAGTGTTTTTATGTTGTGCATATTTATTTATTTTTCTCTCATTAACGTTTTTTTTTTATTGTTACGCGTTTGATTCTCTCTGTATAACTTTTCTTGTTGCTTTTTCGCAGTTGAGTTATCAAATTAACTTTGTTTTTCTTCTGCTCAAAAGCAAATCATCCTTTTGATGAGATATACAATATATTCTTTCAATTCGATTGGTCGTTACAATCGTTCCACTATACTTCTCTTCCAATCTATTCTATTTGTTTGTCTATCAAGTTCTCTGTATTTGTCATTAAATAAATTAGTTGATCTTCATCCACGCTCAATTTAATCCACCACAATATTATCGTTTGCCATAACAATCTATTGTGGCACTTGTCATGTTTAATAGTTACGCCTCGGCTGATCAAACTGAGGACGTTACAAAGGGTTTCTTATATCATGAATCATTGACAACTAACTTAGAGCTTGATCGCATTTGATTATTTATAAAATCCATAAAACTCTATCTATAAAATAGGTAGCGCTGTATTTTATCCATTTGAAAAGCAGATTCACATAGAATTATGATGACTTTCATTTCAGATGGTAAAGCTCTTCATTCTAAACCCTACCGGATATCAACTGATAAGTTCATTGTGACCCAGAAATTCTGATTATTTTCTATAATAAACATTTTTCGAGTTTTCTTTTCATAAAAAATCTATCTCTTAATATGATCTTCAGAATAACTGTAAGCTGATACGTCGGGATCATGTATTCAAAAATATATCAGTCGATGCATCGTTTTCATTATGTTTTGAGGTAAATCCACAGGAAATATAATCGTCATTAAAAAAACTAACATAGCCAACTAAGTACATTGCCAACGATCCAACTACATGGTGAATCGACGTCAGCATTATGTCATGCATCACTTTTATTTCTCAGCTAAACAAATAACGAACACTTTTTAACTATATAGAAACCAACCAAAAGCTTGAAACTCAAATAAAAATGCCTTTTCATTTACAAGGCTTATCATTTTCGAAGACTTCTCTCTATTTACAGATATAATGAATCCACAATGTCAGTTATTCGCAGTTAACAGCTGAAATGTTCAATTGATCATATAATAATTCCAATCTCAAGGATCACTAATATAGCCATCATGGGTGTGACTGTTGAGTAGAATGTATATTTTTCTACTGATAAACTTTTAAATGTTGACGTTATAAGGTTCCACTCAAGGACGTATTTTGTTTGAAGAACCATGATCGAAATTCATCAATTTTAAAAGAGTTCAGCGATGATCATTAACCAAATGATAGCAAAACAATTATATTTTAAACTTCCTTTGAAATCATATAGAATTGAAAGCGTGAAGAGGAAACTGTTGATAATTTTTTCTCCTACCAGAAATACAAAATCTTGTTAACTACTAGCAGTAGTTTTTTTTTTATCATAGCTATCGGCAGTTACATATGTCATCGACACTATTATGATGATAACCCGATATTTTTGCCTGGCATTTGACACCAACGAAAAAGAAAAGAAAAGAAAAGGCAAGAATCTATCTAACATAGAAACCTCCACCATGTAGTATTATTTTATTACAACCATATGATAATAGTTCTGTTGGAACTAACTATTCGTCGAAGGAGAGGAGTCCTGCCGCCTATCAATATGCAGCAAACAACTCGATACTGAGAAAAGCTTCTTTCACGGATGATAATAGGTAGATACGATTCAACAACTAAACAATTTATTTCATTCTATTTAATCGATGCATCCATCACCGATCAACGTAGAATTGTCCGATTCGCTTCAAAATGACGCCGATGAAAATTCAAGCACTCATGCTTACGTAATATTACCATATATATGGAAACATTTGAGATGGTGTGTGTCGGTTTGTTTTGTTTTTCAAGAAAACTAATGCTAACAATATGAACTTTCTAGTATGACTTTGATCGCTACCGCGATTCCTTCATTAGTATTGACTGTGGGTCTTTATTTTAAAGAAAAATGTTCAGTGAACGAAAGCATTTCTCAATTCATGATTGTCTCAGGTTGCTGCTGCCTTGTGCTCATTGGCTTAGGCATTTTTCTTGTTATGTGAGCGATTTTTTAAATTCTTCTAGACTTCGTTTATAATTTATTTGAAGATTTAAAGTCAAATCAGATATCGATAAAGAATCAATGGCGCGAAGTACTGGAATAACTGCAACAGTAGTTATGTGTTTGTTATTAGCAATTATGGGTGGTATGATTTTATTTCTAATTATGTGGCTTATTTATGGATATGGTTCAATTTTATCCGTACGACACACTGTTCAATTTGTTGATCCAACAGCGACAGAATCCTATTGTCATCCGATTTTGTACTATTCATCGTTTCTTTATTTGATTGCTGCATTTGCAACAACAATTGCTTTCTGTCTTGTTTTGCGTTGCTTTCGGGACGGGATTTGATTTCTGCCTTTCATTTTATTTATTGAAGCAGCTAAAGACCAAAAGTCAACGGTTGTTTATTTGTTTAGTAGAAAAAAAAACCACCGAACGGTATAATTAACCAGAAATTATCTATCTCATGGTCAGGAACAGGGCATTGATATTTGTTTACACTCATCATATCAACATATACTGACATAATTTATTCATATACAATCGATAGGTTTCATTTTCCTCTATAGTGGATAAATGATGTTTTTCTTCTCGTCGAATGTTTTATAGTAAGAATATATAAGTGCAATAAAGTGAATTAAAAACAGATGCCTATGAAAAATATCTCGATCATTAATTCCGACAGGCGGAAATACTGTTTTCAATAACCCGAAACGAGTTTTATTAGATGGTAAAGTAGACAAATGATTTTTAATGGATTAATTAAATGAACGTTTTCAAGGAAAGTCTTTAGAGAATTTTCTTTTCCTAATGTTATCTGATGTAATAATTAGCATCATGATTGATTCAATATGACAATGCCTCAAGGAAGAAAATGGTTCGTGATCGTTTATATCTTTTTTTTGCCAATGAATCTACAGTTGACTAAAAAAAAGAAATTCTGAAGTAATATCTTCAAAAATAAAGAGATACTAATCGCATTATCTTTTCCTGTCTTCCGTCTATTAGCGTATATACTTCTAACTGAAGAAATTCTTGTCGAGAGTAATGCTCGGATCGGCAGAGTTAAAAAAGTACAAGTACACACTCGTACTTCTACTTGAGTTGCACTCGAGAATAGCCGCGGTGACCTAGCTCCGTCGTTCTTTTAAAAGAGTTAAAATACAAAAATTGATTTCGCAATAGACGAATGAGAGCCCTAGTTCAAATCCGATGTAGTCAGTTTCATATTCTAAGTGAATCCGGGCAGATTTACATTAGAGCTCTTCGATTTTTTTTCTTATCGATGAAGCACTTCAACAGAAAAGCGACTTGTTCTAGTTATACAACGAATAAATGGTACTTGTCTATGTTTAACATTTCTAGGAAATTAGTACTACGTTGACTATCTTATTTATTACTATCACGACAAATATAATAATAGTTTCTCTATGGAAAATTGCTTATCATCTGAATGAAGTGTGCTAGATTTATCGTGTGTACTGAAATTTGATAATCTCTCAAATAACAAGAATAGGGAATCATTCAAGCACGAATAAATGTATCCATTATCTTAATCTATCGCCTTCTATTTTGCTCACTGAAGCACACATTCTAAGTGTAGCTAATGTAGTTTTTTTTTTCAAACCTATATTTATGCTTTTTCTATTTTGGTCGAAACTGTATTGAGCTTTCGAAATATTCCCGTAAAAAAACATAACATAATTCAGTAATCATCTATTATATACGTAGAATGATGTATAGATACAAGGTAAGATGTCTGACAATTTCAGCCTTGTCTTAAATTTCGACTGATTTCAATGTTGTCAGTATCAATTACATTCTATAGTGATAAATTATTGATCATGGCGCATGATTTTTCTACTAGATTTGACTTACAAAATATTATGAATTCATAAGACGTACGTGTACGGATGACTTATTCATCTCATCAACAAAAAGTTCTCGGGGAAGAATAGATATGTATATCATAGCTGACAATGAAAATTTACATTACATATGTTCTAATTCAAATGACATAACAGTATATATGTATCTGAAGAAAATGATTACAAAAGAAAAAGATAATTCATTCTATGAATCAATCATGAAACTTACATTTTATCATTTATCATTACTACAAATATACATTGAACGTACTACCTCTCGTCGATTTTTCTTTATCTTACATATTTATCATCACATTACAAACATCGAAGACATTTGTACAAATTAGATATCGTAATATTGCAGAGTAAAAAGGGCCATGTCATATGCGCATCATTATTTATCGTTTACGATTGTATATGTGCTTTTTTTTTTGAGCGTAAAATGAGCATCGTCATCATTCACTCGAACGACGTTTAATAGTGTCTATGTCTGTCTAGTAAGAGTAATTATTATAGAAGGTTTTTTCCTTTCGAATATAAAAAATTTATTATTTCCTAGTTGAATCGAAAATTACGGAGAGTTTGATCGGTAGCATTCGATTGTATGTGTTTTTTTTTCTCATTCATGTCTATAAATACCGTCAGGTAAATTTATTGTGAATACTAATTATATCAGATTTCATGTTTCTCAGTGTACATCTCACGATAACTTGCACGTATAACACACTCTAAACCGACTGGAGTTGATTCACATGTTAGCAGAAGCGTAATATGACACGCCAGTCTGTATCGTAACGGAAATAAGTTGAGAGAGGCGAAGACTTTTTAATTTTCTTTCAAAGATTATTATTAACATTATGAAGCATACTTTATACGGTTAATGTGGAAACTTACAAGAGACAAATACCCATTTTGTTCGATGCCGTTAGCATGAAAAAAAAAAGAAGAACCCATAAAAATGGCGGCATGACGTTTTTGATGAAAGAAAAAAATCAGAGAAAGAGAGACAGAGAGCGAGAGAGAAAAAAAGAGAAAAGTGGAAGGAAAAAGAAAATAACAGTCTACTGCAGCGTTTGATGTAATGCATACTTATGGATGAATGAGAGAAACTGTGAGGGGGAAAATATACTAGTAGATCAGAGAGATGAAGAACAAGAATACAGTTCGATCATACGTAGCTAGATGATGAATAGTAAGTTATTTATTGATATTATAGAAATAACAATAGTATATCCATGCTGCTCATTTATCTTGTTTTATATCAATGTTAGTCATTTGTACAGTTTACAATCTGTTATTCTTGTGCCATTCCTTTCTCTTATACGCAATTGCATCCTTCCATGTTGATAGAAGTTAATAGTGACTGATCTATGTTGATTTGTCGAGTACAGGGATGTAGTCATATATTTTTTCTTTTGTATGCTGTGAGTTACGATAAAATTATTGCATAGCTCAGTCCGATAAGGAAACGTGACAGTGATAAATATTACGGTTAAACTTTTTCAAGCCATCCTACTCCTATCTAATTTATAATCTGCCAGGAGCATATATTTGTAGGATTTCCGTTTTTTTCTTCTTCATATTACTATTTATATATATATTTAGATAAGCTTTAATTATGGGAAATTCTCTACTTCAAATCAATTCGCAACGAGCAGTAAGAGCGCCTGGCGATGTAGCGGAATATGGAACATTAAAAAAATCAAGTAGCTTACGAGAATATAGTCGCAGTACATCATTAATTACTAGTTGTATAAATAATAATAATATTCGACGAAATATTTCAATTTCAAGGCCGAAAACAGTGCCGCCAACGGATGCAGAAATAATTGATACCCATGCATTACGTTGTGAAGTCTCATCATCGGATAAAAATGAAGGTGAACAAAAATTATTAAAGCAACTGGATTATATTCATTCTTGTGTACGAAAAGATAAAGGACTGTTGGGTAAGCGTTTTATTTGAAACTATTGCTAAAATCTCAATATTTATTTTACTGAAAAAAATAAAAAGGTATGATGACGGAAAATCTACAAAATAAACATATATTTTCCAATGACGAACCAGAAAATACACATACATTAGATCAAACACCAGATGAATATAATATGGATTATGAATCTATCTATTTACAAACACCGGACGGAGAATTCATACATGCCTATTGGATATATCAAACCGAAGATGTCGACTCAACAATGACTGTTTTATATTTTCACGGAGCAGGCGGAAATATTTCGCATCGACTCGAAGTTCTACGACTTTTCTATGAAAATCTTCGTTGCAACATTTTAATTATTGATTATAGAGGTAAACGGATCTTTTCTTTACAGTTAATTTATTTCATAGAATGAATGCCTTCGGGGCACTCAAGAATTACGAGAGATGTTAACTATGACTTCGGTAACCGACGAGAAGGTAAAACAATGCAACATGTTGTTGTTGTTGTTGTTGCTGTTGTTTTTTCTGGAGTTGATGAGGTAGAAAATGAGAAAGAGAAAAAATTCACAACTCAATCTTAGCCTCGGGATATTCGTGATTTGATACATCTATGCATGTCTAGACAAGTATAATTCATCTATTTATTGAATTCTTATTATCTCTTATAGGGTTCGGCAAAAGTTCGGGCGTTCCATCTGAACTTGGTGTTTATATTGATGCTCAAACAGCGTACGATTATTTAATATATAAACAAGCTATTTCGCCTGAAAATATCATTGTCTTGGGCACGAGTCTTGGCGCATCGGTTGCCATTCAACTTGTTAGTGATCCATTAAATCAAGTTAAATTTGCTATATTCGAAAATGCATTTATATCCGTTCCTGAGATAGCAAAATATTTTCTAACCTACGCTAAAAGTGTGATTGGTATAACTAAATCTATTGGCTTTCTGTATTTATTTGATTCTCTACCGAAAGTACGTCGTATAGAATGTCCATGTGTTTATCTAGCTGGTTTACTGGATCCTATGATTCCACCATGGATGTCGAATACTTTATATAATGAAACACGTTCAGCAAGTAAACGTCAATTATTTGAATATCCATTTGGTAAACATAACGATCTGCCTATAATGAAAGACTACTTTGAAAATATACAAACATTTATTGATGAATTGCCATTGAAAAAACTTGGAACAGAACAATCGGTGCTTAGATAATCATCTGTCTCGATTTATTACTATATAAATATCTATACATATTTCAACACGTTTATATATATATATATCTAAACAATTTTTCTGGAAATTTTGTAAAAAACAATGAAAAAAGATATATGTATCTGTTAGTTTAAGAATATTGATTTCATTCAAAAAACAAATGACATTAATGTACAGTTCTTTTTTTTTTTATAGATTTTTATGACCATTAAAAATATGGTAACTAGATGAATCACTTTTGAATTACATAGCGTATTTTAGAGAAATGACCTCTTCTCACATATGCATGGCTATGTCGCATGTAGAAAAAATTGCCACCATACAATTTAGGGTTTCTATCCGAATATGATAAGGCAGCTGTGAGAGGTACATAGGTTAATTCGATTGCAAGCCTAGAACCTAACAAACATTATGTATATCAAAGATGACATTTTAATATTGACTAAGTGTGCTTTCTAAACCAATAAAAATTCCTTCGTTTTTAATTTCCTCGGATAAATAAGAAATGGTGCGTTTGCCAAAATCTTCTCAGTGGTTATTTTGTCTGTGGCTACAAAATGGACTGTTTGAATAAGAAAAAAAGATTTTCAGAGAACTTCGACGTGTTAGATAAATATTAGCAAAAGATTCGCCTGAAACCAAAACCTATCTTTGGGCCATCAGTGTCAAGTTTCCTAAAGAAGAAAGACCATAGTCTTTTATTCAAACGATGATTTACTTACTCAATGTTGCTAGTTTTTACTGTCCGCTGAGCAATGCAATAAGAAAATGGATGTAATTCTATTTATTAAAACTTTTTTAGTAATTAGCTAAATTTATCTAAATTGTTAATAAGTGCACCAGTAAAAAATTCATGAATGCTTTTTGTTATATTTGAGAGTGATGTGTAATAATGCATAGCCAATTATATATACTTATGGCATTCAAATAGCGAAAGTTCAAATTAAATTTACATTTGAGACTAATACGATTGGTGAAATAAGTGTAAGACGCAACTATAAATTTCGGCATAGTGCTATCAGTCAAGAAAGTATTTACGACGGTTTGCGAAGGACAAGAGTCTACATTTCTTTCATTATATTCCAGCACATGCTTCATAAAAAGAAAATCTAATATGACATATTCGGTATTTGCTATTTCTGTCCTATATAGAGTGAAGTACCTTAAAAGAAGAATTTTACTTTTGGTGATATTTATTTTTTCTTATCATTAGAAAGCGTACAAGTCAGTATCAAACTGATTACTTTTTTTTGTTGCACTACTATGTGAATATAAAAAGAAAAAAACAACCTATGACGATTACTCAAAGAACAATCTATCACATTCACGAGATCAATACCTCGCATATTTTGTTATTTCGAAATATTTGCATGTTGTGATGCAATGTTTCATAAGATTAATACCATAGAAAATAATAAGAAAAAAGGCACCATTTTCCTTTTATCATGTGTTATCGCTTCTCTGACACAAAATGCATTTTGTTTCGTCAGAAAAAGTTACATCAGCATTTCTCGATAGAATACATAAAAAGCTAAAACGAAATTGAATAATTTTTAATTTTATTCTATTATAAACTCGGCGATTGTTAACAAATAATGTCCGAGGAGAAAACTATCGATCGTTCCGAAGTAGAAAACTTACTAAAACGAAGATTTTTTTATGATCAATCATTTTCAATTTATGGTGGTGTCAATGGTCTATATGATTATGGCCCAGTTGGTTGCGCCATAAAATCAAATATTTTAAATCAATGGCGCCGGCATTTTATTCTCGAAGAACAAATGCTTGAAATCGATTGTTCGATTTTAACACCTGAAGTTGTTCTCAAGTAGATTTACCTATTTTGTTTTGCAGAAAAAAATATTTTCTTTTCTCCTGTTAGAGCATCTGGTCATGTGGATCGATTTGATGATTTTATGTTGAAAGATACTCAAACAGGCGAATGCTTTCGAGCTGATCATTTAATTGAAAGTAAACAAGAATTTTCTATATTTTTCTTTCGGCCTACTAAAACTATTTCGTTTCTTTTATCGATAAGATCATCTTGAAAAGTTGCTTGAAATTAAAGAGATTTCAGATGAAAAGAAATCGGAAATGAAACGAATATTGCCACAGGTAAATCTAGATAATTAACTCGTATGAATACAATAATCAATTGTATTTAGATTGGCAATATGAATGCTGCAGGCTTAGATCAACTTGTAAAACAATATCATATAAAAGCACCGAATACTAATAATGATCTTTCGGAGCCAATTGCTTTTAATTTAATGTTTTCAACTACAATCGGTGCGACTGGCCAAGTCAAAGGGTAAATTAATTGTGACGTAGAATCTATTGTACTATCACTATTGATTTAGTTATTTTCGCCCGGAAGCTGCTCAAGGCATGTTTGTTAATTTTAAACGGCTATTGGAATTTAACCAAGGTCGATTACCATTTGCGGCTGCACAAATCGGTAATGCATTTCGAAATGAAATCTCACCAAGATCAGGTTTACTTCGAGTTCGGTACGTTAATTTCTTTGTTTTTTGCCATTAATTTAGTTTCCGGAGTCTAATACATCATTGCTTTATGGCTAGAAAGAGAATTCATATTGATCTCTTTCTTCAAAAAAACAAAAGAAAGCAATCTTATCAATTGCTATTTCATCGATTTCCTTCCTTTGTCTTGAATACGCGCATGCAACCTGAAAGTGTTCCGTCAACTTGAAACAGATGATGCAATTAAATCATCGTTTAGCCTTTGCTATCCTCTAACCGTTGGATCCTAACTGATCTGATAAGTCTATTTTTTTCTCTTCTGTTTAGTGAATTTACAGTGGCAGAAATCGAACATTTTGTTGATCCAATGGATAAGACTCATCCGAAATATGAAACTGTAGCTGATCTTGAGATTCAACTTTATTCAGCCAACAATCAAGCCAACGGTGAATCGACGCAATTAGTTCGGCTCGGTGATGCTGTTCGCTCGAATGTAATCAATAACGAGACACTTGCTTATTTTATCGGTCGAATTTATTTATTTTTCACTAAAATTGGTATTGATAAAACTCGAATTCGTTTTCGGCAGCACATGAGTAACGAAATGGCTCATTACGCTAGCGATTGTTGGGATGTTGAATGTAAAATAAGTTACGGTTGGATTGAATGTGGCGCTTGTGCAGATCGATCATCTTATGATTTGAATCAACATATAAGATTTAGTGGTCAAAGACTGACTGCTACACGACAGTTATCTACAGCTAAAACAATTCTAGTTAGCGAGAAAAAAATAAATAGTAAAGCAATTGGTCAATCATTTCGAGCAGATGCCTCAAAAGTGATGCAATATTTACAAAATTTGTCCGAACATGACGCTCGAAGTTTACATGAAAAACTTCAGCAAGCACATGAGAAAATCGCCATCGACGATAAAGAATTCATTGTCACAACAGCAATGTTTACAGTTGAAACAGCTGAAAATATTGTTCAAGGTAAAAATTTCTAGAGAATTTTCTATATCTTATTGGAAGATTTTTACTATTAGTGGAAGAGTTCATTCCATGCGTCATTGAGCCAACATTTGGCATTGGTCGTATCTTGTATACAATGTTGGAACATAACTTTAAAGTGCGATCACAAGATGAGCAACGCAAGGTAATGAGATTTTTAGAATGCTTCGATTCCTTGGAAAAGATGCAAACAAGATAAATCTTAATATGATTCTCAGAATTTTTTTATTCAGCTCAAGAAATGCCGCCAATAGTAATAAACCTTACAATAGTCAACTCGAAAACTTAGTATTTTTTCTATCAGTAATGCAAATAGGCTGTCTGATTTATTATGTTTTCTTTGAATTTTGCTGAGTAAAGATCAAAGATAATATTTATCGCAGTATTATCCTATCGATAATCTAGGATTATCTGGGATGATGTCAGCCATCACAAAAAAATAAAGCTCCTTATCTAAATGTTTACTCGGATGCCAATGCAAATCAAGATATGAATCTAGTTCCTATTTCACTTGCGCGTACTCTAAACACGCGCTTCTTATATATTGTCTATAATAAATTCATTTCTTTCAGTATTTTACATTACCACCATCAATTGCGCCATATAAATGTGCGATTTTACCATTGAGTGGTAATGCAGAATTTAAACCATTTACTAAACAAATATGTATGTTTATCTATTTGAAATATATATTCTATTAATTTTCTTGTTCAATATGCTTAGCTGATCTTTTAACTCAAGCCGGTATTTCGTATAAAGTCGATACTAGTAGTAGCTGTATTGGTAAACGTTATGCACGCTGTGATGAAATAGCTATTCCGTTTGCGGTCACAGTTGATTTCGATACGTCACTACAACCGCCTTCCATCGCATTTCGTGAATTGAATTCTATGAAGCAAATTCGTGTTCCAGTAAGTATTATTTCGATGGAAACGAAAAAACAGTTAGCTTATGTTTTTTAGATTGATGAAATTGTATCTGTGGTTCAACGGTTGTCAACAGAGCAAACAACGTGGACGAAAATCTCAACAATGTATCCGATGTTTACAGAACAGCAAAATCGAAAAGTAGAAAATGAAGAGTAGAAAAACAATTTTTTTCTTCGATACGAAATAAAATCTTTGAGAAAAAGAATTGAAGTAGTGAATAATATAGTTATGATTCAATAGATACAGAAAGAGCAGCTGGTGCACAAAGAAAAAAAGCAGCAAACTTGAGATAATAAACATTACAAGTTTGTTTTTAGTTTACAAATATGTTGCACTTCAAGTTCTAGGAAAATTTAACTTCTGTCCACACTGGTTAATATATATCGAAAAATGAGGTAAGACTGCAAGACAACAGCAACAAAAAAAAGATTACAACAGAAAATGACAATAGGCTTTTAGGATTATGGTGACCTTGAAACTTCCTGTTTTTCTTGAATCACGGACTGTTAGTATTTTTTGCTTCTAAGAGCCTCTCTGCTTCCACGGTACCATATATTTTGTTTTTATCTTGGTTTAAACTAACAGGAGGCAAACAAGAGAAAATGCATGCACCATAAACTTGCTACTTCCAAGTCTATACCACATAATATAAACCTACCAGCGCCATAGTTTCATTAGTGTATTAAAAATGTTGATAAAACTCTTGTCGAAGTTTTTTCTATATATTCTTAATTTCAAGTTCTATAAACTTTTTGAAATGTACGAAGCATAAGAAAAATAAAATTTGCTTTCGCATGCCGTAACGCTAATAAGATGAAGATTTAATGAAAAGCATTCTTATATCGACTTTCTTTTTAAGAACACGTGAAGTAGATAATAATTTTCTCAAATGCTGTTTCAATGTATCGTTGAGTAATGGATGCCGTTTAATATAGAGTTTTCATTCAATACTATTGCTTGAATATATATATATATACTGTGTGACCCGTATTCAATTGCAAAGTATTGCCTTAGTCAACACGTGGGTTTTTCGACCATATCCTGTCAGAAAAAAGCATTTTTCTCAGTTTATTGATCTAGATATTTATATTGAACAAACGATCTAATTTCTCATCGAACATGGTTATTTATAAATCGAAGATTCTTTTGTATCAGCAACGCTGTATCGTTGATGGTTGCTGATTTTTGTCAGCAAAGTATTATAAAAACGAACAGACGAACTTTCGTATTAGATGCTACTGGCTTTTTTTTCTTTGAGCGTTTCGTAAATAGTAATTGGATATTGTACCCTATGAAATAATGTCGATCGCTGATCTGATAGTCTAACCGTGTATTTTGTTTTCAAAACGAGTATCCACTAATGAATATCGTGAGAAATTAATAACTTCAATTGCTCTACAGGAACCTATGAGGCAAGTCGAATCATGATATAGAAATAAAATATTTATGGAATGAAAAATAAATTGGATCTCTACTCGTAGAATATTCTTTTCGGATCGAATGCTTTTTTCTCGTGATCAAATCTATCTAGAATAAGTGCTAAAGAATAACCGTAAAGTTTTCTACTACCACCAAACGTGATCATTCTATGATTAAATACCCACACCCTGAATAACATCACGTTGTGTTACATGAACTACTTCCTTATTAAGGCGTTAGACAACTGCGGAAACGGATAGAATGTACCAGTGGGGGGCGGGGGGGGGGGGGGGGGGGGGGG